GCTCCAGCAGGTCCGTGTCTCTCCTGTGCCGAGGGCTCCAGAGCTGGACGCAGCCCTGCAGGGGGGTCTCCCCAGAGCGGGGCAGAGGGGCAGAACCCCCTCCCTCGCCCTGCTGGTCAGAGATGCTACAAAAGAATTAGCAATTTGGGGCGCCTCTTGTTTTAGGCAACCAGAGTAAGATCTTTGGAGGGGGCTCCAGTTCTCAGGAGGTGCTGAGGGCCACCTGTTGATTAAAGGGCCTCCTTGTCTGTCTTGAATCAGACATCCCACTGCAGTGCGCTTTGGTTTTGGTCTGATTCTCCTCTCAGCTGCACCAACTCCACAACCTACACTTCACAGTAGCTCCAGATGGGAAGAATACCACACGGAAAAGCCCACCCATCATATTTATGGCCAAGACCCATCTCCAAGGCAGCTGGCCTGTGACAGTGAGACATATGCAGGGCTGTAAAGAGTGGTTTGCCAGCAGCGATAAAGAGCAGAATGATCTGCATCCGAAATTCATGCTCAAAATTTCGACATTCATTTACCGCTGGGCAGGGCAATTTCAGCCACGCTGCAGTGTTTGGACCAACAGCCCTCCGCACACAGATGAGCCTAAATGCCTCTGGAAAGCTACACAAGATCAGCACTGAAATCATTCCTACTTGTGCTGTATGTTACAGAAAGAAGGAAATTTGTCTTTTCGGGATCAGCTGCTCAGCAGGGCCTTCGCTGAGCCAGGAAACCCTCCAGTCTGAGCTGCAGCTGTTAAGTCAAACCCCAGTTCATCCACTTGCGCTGGCAGGGATGTGGCCGCTTCTAAGGGCTGCACTGAGTTTTCACACCTTTTTGAACACACACTATGTCTCCTCGAGGCTGGAGAGGGGACACGCTGACAGCTTCGAGCACGTCACTACTGCAGCACTTCAGAGATGCGACGCAGCCGGATTCTGGTAGAGGCAGCGTGTGCTGCACAGCAGAGCTGCTGCGCTCAACGGGAGCTGGATTTCCCCCAAGCAGAGCAGCCTTCTTTCAAAGACATCGAACCAACCACTGTTTCTCTGGAAACACGAAGCCCAGTACAAGCTTCCGCTTGGTGCTTTACCTTTATGGGAGGTTTTCTCGTCAGGTGAGAGACCAGGAAGTTCATGGCGATGTCCTCGCAGTTGATGTATTCGTCCACCATGTCACGAATGGCTTGTGGCATCACGTAGGAGTACAGGTAGGCGTAGTACTGGAAAGGATAAAAAGGTGCAACGTTGCTCAAGGTGGTCCCAAGCAGAGAGCTCAGGGAAGCCACTGGAGAAACTCTACATAACGGAGTTAATCCTGCACCAAGGAGATCTGCTCTGTTTTAGCCACAGCAGCAGCAAATCTAGCCCACAGCCACCACCCTCGCCGAGTCCTGAGGCTCCTGTAACCTCAGAAATCGAGAAACGATGATTTCAGCCCACTCCGATCTTGCTGTCTTTGCTGCTGCAGAGTCAGAACCACAGTGGTAGCTGGTGGATTACCTTCCCACTGCGATGTGACGGCTCAGGATAGCCCTCTCAGAACAGCCCATCCTTTTCTCGAGGTCTGTTTGCCTGCTGTTGCCTCTTCCACACAGAGAGGCACACATCACGGAGCCACTTTCTGCACTCCCCCCTTCCAACAGAAATCAGCCACCTCCCATACCTACCAGCCAGCCCGTGCCACCACGCAGCTGCAGAGACCCATGACTTCCCCGCAAATTACCCCTTGCAACACTGGGAGTCTGTAAGATTAAAGATGCTCCAGTAAAGACGCAGGGCAGGGAATCCCATGGCGGCCTCACCCTCACCATGACCCAGAGCATTGCCGAAACGCGCTCGGCCCCGCGCTCCATCCGCCCACTTCAGCGCTGTGGTGCTCCTCGTGTGGCACAAACATACACTGCTCCTTGAGGAGACCGTTCGCTGGGACACAGACCAGTTGCTGGCTGTGTTTCAGTTTGGAAGCGAGGGAAAAGGAGTGGTGAGCTCCAAAATTTGTTCTTAAAAAAAAAAAAAAAAATACAACCCCCAAACATACAGACTCTGGTTACTCTGAGAAAGAAGGGAAAGCTCAGGGCTTTGTGGCCGTGGTATCTCACCTTGTGGAAGAAGGCAGCACCAGTGAGCACCATAGAGAGCTCGCAAGAATAGTTAGAGTTGTAGAGCCAGGACTGATGGGGGATGTCCCACGCATGGTAGCGCCCCGGGAAGCCAACGATGCGGTCCCTTGCCTCTCTCCAGACGCTGCAAACACAAAACCTTTCAGTGAGACACAAACGCAGCGAGCCCATGCACAGATGAGCATGGCTCTGGCTGACAGCCACTACACACAGGAGCATGCCCTTGACACCAATGGATGGCTCCCAAGGGGGGTTGCAGGTGATGGGAGATGCCCCTACTTTAAAAAGTTTGGCAACTGCTCATCTGAAGAACGGCCAACATACAATTGTAGCTTGGACAAAAAGAATAAACGTTAAAATGTGCAACTACCTTACTTCGAAGTCCTTTTTTTTAAAAAAAATAAAATTACAGAAAATTCCAACATGCAAAAGACATCTTTTTATGTAGGCTGTTGAGTACAAGCTCGCCCACCTCCACAGCACCGAAGCTCCACTTCAGTAGGACCGACTGGCCATCACACCTGCCTGACACATGAACAAGGTCTCTCCCCGAGATAAATCTGATTTCTTTCCTGTCGTAGTGCAGGAAAGGGCTGAACACAGAAATCTTGGCTTTTAACAGACAGGCAGAATTTGTTGACCTTCTCTTGTTAAAGGTTAAAAGCTGTTGGATGTGAACTGAAGCATCCCTTGGCCAACCCTCCCAAGCACGGGCTGTGAGCACAAACCAACGTTGCTTGGCACAAAGCTGAGCTTCTCACCTCAGTCCTCCCCTAGAGGCACATTTGAGTTGCTTATCCACAGGGAAAGTGCTCCCTCAAATAAGGGATTTTCTAATCCATAAGAGCTGTTCTGTAGATTTAAAAGAGCTAACAAAAAAGCCCAACAGCCCCAAACTAATTTCTGAATGACACAGAGAATGGAAAACTTAAGACCTCAGATGGAGAGGCAGAGAAAGAGGCAGTGAAAGCCAGCGAGACGGGAAACTCTTCTGCTTGCCACCACCTTCCCGCAGCCCATGCAGGGGCACCACTGCATGACACATACACCAGTGCTGCTTCTCTCTTATTTCCTGCTACAAGAGCCCATTGCAGCCAGGGCTTGGCCTGGGAGGAACCCAGTGTCTCCTGGCCTCCTTCCCCAAATCCCTGGCACTTTCCATCTCCCAGCAGCTCAGTTTCCTCCTCTGTAAAGTCAAGATAAACATCCAAAGAAGACTAGAAGGAACAATTCCCAAGTGGGAGCCTCTTGGACACAGAAAGATTTTCCCTTCTTTACAGGCACAAAATAGGGCAGAAAGTGGCCTTTTTGTTTTTTTTCCCTCATGTGTATGCGAGCTCCTCCCGCAAATCCTGTTCCTGCAGAGAGCTACAGAAGCGATGGCTGCAGGGCAATCGCAGGCTGCTGAAGAGGCCGAGTTTCCGAGAGCCCTGAGCTTTCATTACACTTACTGACACAGCCAGGAGCAAAGATGAGTTTATTGTTACATCCTCAACTCAAATTAATGAAAGTCTGATATAACCTGGTAATGAAAACCAAGTAATTAACACCGCCAGCAGCTTCCCTGGTACCATCCTCCCAGCAAGTACTTGTTTGCTGCAGTTTCTGTCAATCCAATGTGATTGTTTTGAAAAGCTGGAGTCGAAACTACTCATTCCCTTTCACTTCTCCCACATCTCGCTTTCCTACGAACATGACACTTGTTCCTTCCCAGCTCAGCCAGAAAAATAAGGATTTCTCTGGAGAATCGTTTTGGGTGTGCTACTCAGAAAGGTTTGCTCAGGGGTGCCCACCTCCAGCTCACTCCTGAGCAGCAAACAGAGCAAGAAGAGGCTTTTGGCCCCAAGAATTACAGCCCAAAGCTAAGTTTCAACAAAACGCAGTTGTTATGGGCAGAGGTTCACTCAACTGCCCAGACACCGTCTCTATCCTGGCTGAACATGTTAACACAGGGAGGCTTTGTGGGAACAAGGTGTTTGTAAGCAGGATACGAGTGAGAATAATACATGGCACTTACAATTTTAATTTGATGCTCTCCATGGCTAATCGGTAAAGCCTCAGCCAGGCGCTGTGGATGAGCGAAGGAAAAGGGAGACCAAAGAGGGGGAGAAAACAGCCAAGTTCAGATAAAGAGCCTGAAACGGGGCATGGAAGGGAAGCCAGGAGTCCTGACGCCTACTCCCCTGCTTTAATCACTTTAACACCTCATTTCTCATCTCTCAGAGAGACCTTGTTGGGTTTCCAGGCATTTTGTGCCTTTTAATCTTCCTCCCAAACGTGAGCCAACACGTTTCGGTGAGATCAGAGAGCTGGTCCCCGTCTCCCGCCCCCCAGCCAGCTGCTGGGTGCTCTTGGATTAGCAATCGCAGCCCCCGCCCCGCCCGGGGGGGGGGGGGGAGCCACAGCCAAACGAGCGCCAGTGCTCTCTCCTCATGCCGTCCTCACTCCCTGGAGCCTCTTTGGCAGTCGGCGAGGTTTAGCTGGACAAGAAACATCCCACGGCAGGAGCCCACGTAACTGCTTTCTCTCTTGGCCCCGTAATCAGGAGGCTTTTTTGCCAGGGCAAAGTGAAGGGAAAACATAGATGCTGGAGCAGAAGAGGGGTGGGAATGACAACAACCAGCACCAGCCTTTTCTGTGTAACATCTGTCTTTTCCTTGCTCTGCAGAACAAAATGCCAGAAGAGCTGTCACATCCCAGTGTCACACCGAGCACAGAGGACGGCAGCCCACTGTGAGCATCGTGTCCTGCAGCAGCTGCGAATGTCCTGACCTTGCCAATGGCACGTGAAGGATGGGGTACAACAGCCTCTTTGATTTGTTTTCCAGCTTCCTTCCACCCTAGGAAGCCATGTACCCCCAAAACATTATCAGCAAAAGCCAAAGAGTCAAGGTTAAGAAGCGTGAGACTCGGGGTTGCCTGGACAACCTGAAAGCAGCTCACCGGCCTGCACTCATTAAACAGTTCATTACCGTGTGTTACTGCTCCAAGAAATTGAGTTGGAAAGCCATGGGAAGGGATATGCTAGTCCTAATTCTGTCCCCAGCTTTAGCCATGAGGCCACGCTGCACCTGAGCAGAGCCTGGATGCAGAAGACATCAGTTTGGGTCCAAAGGCTACGTGCGCAGAGGCTACTCACCGGAATCCAAACATGATCTCGTCATGGCGAAGGTGAGCATCGTCGTCAATGGACAGGATGGCCTCCGTCTCGATCTCGTCCCATGGTAGGAACCGGTTGTTCAGGCTGTTTTTCTCTGTGCGGACGACCTAAGAGATGAACACACAAATAGTTATGGCAGCTGTATGTGCACAAGAGAAGAGATTTAGGGGCTGGGGCTGCGCACTCCAGCTGCAGCGGTCCAGCATTTCGGCACTGCTTCGTAGCCCCTGTGATAGGAAAATGCTTTCTAAGTAAAATGCATCAGCTCACTCCGGTGCCAGCTCCAGCTTCCAGACCTTCTACCTGCCACCTCCCACCCGTCTCACAGGACTGCCGAAGGCGACCCCAAGCCCCGTGGTACCAGGTGCCAGCTGTAACGGCGGTGCTTGCGGCCGCCCGCCCTCTCATGCGCAGGAGCGTGGCTCTGCAATAATGAAGAGAGGGAAACACAGCAGCCACGGCCCGTCTCTCCTACGGCCGCTGAAGAAGTGGTCCTTACAGCATTTCTCCAGCACTGATCTGAACTGTTTCTGCAACTATCCACGCTTTCTGCCTTGGACACCACTTGTTTGCAACACCTCCCTCTCTCAAAACTCTTCCAACACCGCCACTGTGCAACTTCCCTTATCCCCAGCCACATACATATAAAATCAGACTGAATTTCTCCCTCTTCTTGACTGCCCCTTCCACGCTGAACCCTTTCTCTCCCTTGCTCTTACATTTTTCACCTTCCTTGTCTGATTTATAGTCACTCAGTTCATCCCAGCTTCCCGTCCCATTCAATCCTTCCAGTCTTTTCTTTGGCTCTCCTCTGAACAATCTCTCTTGATTTAAAAATAAAATCCAGCCTGGTGAAAAGAATAAGGCGTCACGGCAATAAAACTCCATTAAATAAGATTACATTTGATCACATAAAAAAAGCCCACACTGAAACCATTAACAGTGGAAAATATTTGTATCGGGGATCTGCATGACAGCTGGTACGATTAAATTCCCGTGTAAAGCCAGTGTTAGTGCTTTCATCTGTCAATAGCTGCTGGGGGGGGGAAATGGAACATTCAACAAGAACGCATTAAAATATTTCACTGACGATCCATCAAAAGCACGAACAATTTATTGCAGGGAGGTGAACAAATTACGCAGCTCTAAGCTGTGGTGGAGCAGGGCCAGAGCGGAGCCGGCGGCACTCCCACCCCAGGAGGGCTGCGATGCAATTAGTGCCCGTAGGAGAAGGCAAAATCAGAGACAGACAATGCCGGCACAGGAATTTCTTCCCCCTCTCCCTCCCGAGGTGGAGAAAAATGACAAAAATCAGCATGGCATTGGTATTTACTTTCAGAGTTAGCATGAGCCAGCAGATGCTCCCACGGGTATCTTCTCTATCTGGGAACTGCTGGAAAAGAAGTAGTTCCAGGAATCATGGTGGGAATGGGCGATGGTGAGGGAAGTGGGAGAGGAGGCAACTCCACACACTGATGCGGGGGAGGCAGCTGGTAAGACACGAATCAAAAGATCAGGAGGTTTGGAACAGTATGGCCCTAAGGCACTGGCCCAGGAAGCCAAGGAAGACCTGGACACAAGAAGGCGAGTGCAAGCTTTGAGAACATCACCTCCGCAGAAGCATCACCAAACCCAAGACACCATGGGCATCCTCTGGATGTGCCAACCGGTAAAGGACAGGAGCCAAGAGCAGTGCCCAAATTGTTGACAAGGAGAATTTAAATCTCTCCCACATCGCCACGGCTGTATCTGTAACTGGCTTTAGCAAGCGCAAGTGCTCTTGCAGCGGCACCAGGAGGACCAGGCCTGCTGGCTCGGAAAAAGGGGACGTGGCTCCAGCCGGAGCAGCTGGGCCCCGCTCAGACATGCTTTTTTGACTGGAAGAGCACTTTGGCAAACCAATACGACAAAACCAAAAACATTGCCCAGGGCAGCAAAGCAGACCTTGGTGCTGGCTGCTGAATGCCTCCAGTGGGACACGGTCATTTCACCTTTTTAATTAAAAGCCATTAGCCCCAATTTCCAGCTCTTTTTCTACTTAATCAATCGTCCAGTGCATCATGGCATTTGCAGGATGCATTTTTATTACGTAGAGTAGTTAAACGCCTTAGGAAATGTTCTGCCTCCCACATGTGGCCGGCTCCTTTCCTGGTCAGCGTGCAGGCAGCCCACCCCACACCCCACCTCTCAACTGCTTCATGAAGTCTTCAGGATCAGCAGCAACTGCAAAAATGACCTGAGAGGAGCTTTCACGGTTTCTGACACTGGCAAGGGCCCCTCCACTAAATTCCAGCCTGGACCAGTTGGGAACTGGTCATCACTCTCTCCAGCTCAACCACGCTGTAAGATGGGCTTCTGAAATCAGCACTGTTTCTCCTGATGAAGTCTTGTGACCACCAATTTTTTCCTCCCATTGCAGATCCTGCCTTCTAGGAAGTTTGCAAACTTATTAAAACCAGGACCGATACATAATTCGGCCTTCTGCTCAAGAGCACGTGCCACGCTGCGTCTCTGCTGTTATGATGGTATTTCCTCAGAAAGCCTGATCTCACTGAAGTTTGTTGCTCTCTTCACCGTTAGGATTAGCAGAAGCTGGACTGAGTCTGTAGTAAATTGATATGCTTTCCAGGCAAGGTCCTGCCTTGCCAGTTGAACATGGATGGATGGACAAAGACCAAAAAAAGAGCGAGAACCACCAGGCTGAGCAGCAGAAACCCCGCTCTGCCTCACCGATGCGCTGGGAAGTGGGTACCGCTTTATCAGAGTCCTACTCACCACGAGTCTTCATCTCAGCTTCTCAGGAAAGATTTGGGTCCCGTGTCTGCAAACGTCAACTGGTTTCTGCTCCCCACGGCTGAAAATGGCAGCAGGGAGGTTTTGCCCACCGCACCGCCCTGCATTTGTGGTCAAGCCACTTTTAAAGCGTTTCCACTGCCAGAGCGAGCCCCCACAGCCACAGCACTTTTTTGTGTCACCCATTTCCAAAGGGACCGTGCAAAAGATTACAGAGAATCCAGGGCCAGTTCCGAGCTTTGTCTGCTATTCAAAACCGAGGGAGAGGTAAAGATGCAATGTTTCGCTCAGAGGTCCAACGACCTAACAAAGTCAAGGCTAGTTTTCACCTGAGCTTTGGAGGCAGGTCCACCTTCTTGCGTTGTAAAGAGCTGGACAGGAAGCAAAACTCAGCACAACTTCTGCCGTGGGCACGTTTTGGGTTACTCCATCAAGACTGAAGCTTTGCAGGCCTGGAAGTGTCAGTGTTCAGCCTCTGCATTTCACAGAAAATAGGTGTACTCCTGCCTTTCATCTGGGAGTATTTAAGAATTAAGCAGCCTGTAAATTGATAGATCCCAAGGAAAAACCTGTCAAACTTTATTGATTGACTTGTTTTCCCGTAACTTGCTGAACAGTAACATGATGCGGCTACTGTCAATTGAGAAAGCGAAGCGGATCCCTCCTGAAACTGGGGACCCCAGAGGATAGCGAGATCAGTGCACTGGCATTAAAGGCCTCCCTAAAGAGAAGGATGCTACAAAGGAGCCGGATGCCTCCAAGCCTTGATAAGCACATTCGATTCATCACATTAGCTCCAGCAAAAGTTAGAAGCAACTTAAAGCTCTTGCCTTTGATGCCTTGTTTTCAAAGAAACTATCCCAATTTACAGCACTTTTAGGATGCAGATAATTGTCAGCAGACAACTATTCAGTGGCTTTTGTAAATCCCTGCACTTTCCCCTGGGCAACAACACCAAGGAAGAGCTCGGGGATCTGCAGGCAGTGTTCTAAGATGGGAACGATGGGGCTGAGGTGTAAAACCTTCCTCCCATCTCTCTATCCCCCCCTGAGACGGTTCAAGCGCGGTACCTCCCCAGGCAAGACCAGGTTTTGATCTTGACCGCATACGCTGCATCCCGAGTTGCGGAAACAAGGGCATTGCATTATGAGACAGAAAACACAACTCTTGAGAAAGATAAACGTGTATTTTCGGGAAACTTTTCTGCTTTAATACAAGCAACTAATCTTGTAACACCGGGTTAGAGGGAATGGGAAGAGTATTTGATTCAGGGACTTGAAACATTTCTCTCTCTTTTAAAGTTTTTACATTTCAGCACGCCTCTAAAAACACCAGATTTCTCAGGCATGAAATGGACATTGCAGGCACAAACGTACTCAGAAGCTTATTAGGCCGGGTGAAAAAAAGAAGGGTTATTACAGCAGCAAAGTATAAAAAGTCTAGTCCTCTCCCTCACATGGCATTAAATGAAATTTAGCAATTTTTCATGACTTCATCACACACTACAGCCAAATGACACCTTATTGTGCCATGTCCTTCGCTGCAGGTATCTCAAAGGACTCTTCCAGCAGTAACTGATTAATCTCCCTCCAGCATGTGTGAGGCTGGGTGGAGAAAGCCAGGAGACACTATGGTGACCACAGATCTATGTCTACCTTTACGGACACAAGGTCTGTTATGTTGCCAAACTCAGGGATTTACAGGCCAGAGGTGACTTGATCATCCTGTGTGACCTCCTTACAGGGTGGACCAGGGGACTTGATGCAGCCACCCTTCCTCCAGAAGACACTCATCACCCAGCACTGGAAGACAGCTGTGAAATGACAATTCAGACCAAATTAAAAAGCCATAAGATCAAACTTCATGGCACTGGTTGGACTCTAAATGCTTTCTGGAGAACCAGTGGTGGATAGCTGGCGGGGTTGACAGCAGTAAGTTAAGCCAAAAGGGACTTTCAAGTCATCTACATTAACCTCCTGCATGACGCAGGTCACAGGGACCTTGTCTCAGACCTGAGCTGTGGCCGGCAGGAATACCTCTGCTGGAAATGCATCCTGCTTCCATTTGAAGACATCAAGAGTGGGAGAATCCACCTGAGATGTTCACTCTCAAACATTAATAATTTGCTTCGTGTTGTGAATTATCTCCTTTGGCTCCCAGTTGCTGCTCCTTGGTGGGCCTCTCCCACTCCAGAAAAGTACACAGGCACCACAACCAAGCCCTCTCTCGGTTCTTTTTCAAACAGCTTGAGGTCTCAATCTCTCACCCAGGGCTGTTTCTCCTACTCTTCCATCATTTTAATGACCACTTTCTACATAATCTTGTTTCTCAACAG